TCTCTCTCATCTCTCTCATCTCTCTCATCTCTCTCATCTCTCTCATCTCTTTCTCATCTCTCTCATCTCTCTCTCCTCTCTCTCTCTCTCTCCTCTCTGTCTCTCGTCTTTCCGTCTCTCTTCTCTCTCTTCTCTCGCAGGAGGATCCGGGCAAAGAGCCACATATAAAGGACTCTTCACCCCTGCCTCCAAAAAGAGCGCCGTGTTTTTTCCTACCTCGCTGCCCTCCACTTTCCCATTCTGGAGCGCTAGCTTTCGCCCCCCCCTTGGCCTCAAGTATATATATAGAACTATATAAATGTAATCCCAAATTAGGCAAGTTACAGTCTCCTAAGTGCGGTGCGTGGAGTATGTCAGCGACATGCAAGTTGTACACACATTGCACTGAGTCTGAGTGGCCCTATGGAGAGGTACCGTTGATGCGTTAATGGCTAATGGTATCATACCTGAAAGTTCCTTTGACCTTCCTCGGCATCGGAGTCGGGATAGTTTTCAAGGTGATGCAGAGATGCTCCAAGTAATAGAAGAGCGAGTCGTTGCTGCCCACCTGTAAGCTGGCAACGGCCTCACACCAGCCAAATACTGTACACACATTTAGCATTTAAAACACCTCCAGGAAAGCATTTTTTGTTTCTTTTCCTTCTTCTCCCAGGTCGAGATGGCCGTGGAGGCTTGCGTTGTACAGCTCCTGGTCACTGGATTCGTCCATGCAGACCCTCACGAGGGGAATCTCAGGCGAAGCGGGAGCGTAGTTAGATGGTGAAGACGTGGGTCCGGTTCGGACGATTTTTCTCGATGGAAACTGCAGAAGCAAATTAACAGGTGGGGTGCATTCAGATGTGCTGAGCGTATTACTTTGTTTTGGGGCGAGGCCGAAATGCTTGGTCAAATCCCGGAAGAAAGAGCTACTGTATGTCTCATCAACTTGCCAAGCTCAAAGCCGATTTCCATAGATGTCCTGATATCAATGAAGATACTGCATGTCATGTATATATCAAGTCAAGATCGTTCTTCCTCCGGTCCGAGGCTGGTTCCCGATTCGGTCACAGGTTAGGCGACGACGGGCGCGTGGTCTTCCTGGATTTCGGCCTCATGGATCGGGTGGACTTTGGACTGATGGAGAGCTGCGCTGCCGGCGTGCGCCAGGTGGAACCAATTGGGGTTCACAGAGCTGTGGTGGAAGCATGTGGAAGCTGCAGATCCACTCGAAACGCGAGGTAAGATTTTTAAGTTTTAAAGCATTTTAAACGTCGAAGGTGGATGCCGTTCTCTTGAGGGCCTGCGTGCGGAGCTTTCGTTGCATGAATGCTGAACCACTCTAGCGGCTCTAGCGTGTGTGAGGGGGGCAGGTAGTTGAGGGCTGAAGGATGGAAGGGTATTCCACAAATAGTGTCACATCAGCTGGACGTATGGCTGCTGGATTCAAGCCACACCGAATCCACCAGCCCAGCGCCAGGTGCTGAACAAAGATTGGCTTGATCTCACGCACACCTTCCAGGCAGTTCGATTCACTCCGAAACCCATGATGAAAAACATGGACTACGGCATCGCTGATACACCCAGGTGGGGCCAAAAGCAAGATGTTGCAAACAAGTGCTTATTCCATTGACAAAATAGGGCCCAATCTTGTCAGAGCAACGCATATTCAGGTTGAAGAGCATGAGAGAAGCATGAGGCTTTTCCACCAGTCCCCTGCAAAACCACCCTCCACCCATCCTCCAAGGTATGAGGAGTGTGGTAACGAGGAGTTCGCTGAGGCCTTTGCGGTTCAGCTGCAGCGCGAGGCCGACGGCCAGAGTCGCTTCGGAGCCATGGCAGTGGCGCTGAAGAAGCTCTCAGACCGCCCCCTGAGCGCAAGCGGGGAGATGCGTTCTCCTGTGTTTTTTGGGCGGGTGACCGGTGGGTGGCAGTTTGTCAATTGGTGCCGCAAACCTAGCAGAGTGTTTGGCCTTTCCCGAAGCCCAGGCTACTTGATGCTGACTCCGCCCTTCATCGCTTTGCTTTGCCGCACCTTCATTACATTGGAAGGCCTGCTGGCCGACGATCCTAAAATGGCGGAGGCATACAACGTGTACCAGACGTCCCTGCCCTTTGCCATTTGCCGGTTTTTGTCTCCTCGCACTCGCAGAGGTGGCCGAGACTTGAGGACGGCCAAGGCAAAGCGCAGATACGCGTGTTGCAACGTCAGCTACGCAGCTACTCGTCCTTGACATTGTTGTAGGAACATTGGTCCAAAACTGGGGGACATCAGCCATCCCTTGCTAGGAGCTCCTTCTTGAAGGAGGGCAGCTCTCAAGTCAACTGGGGCAGCTTGAGCGCCCTCCTCACTGCTGGTGATGGCTCGGCCGAAACTGCCTCCGAGGCGGCTGAAAACAAGAAGCAACATATGGATTATTAGAGCTTCCGAGCAACTTTGCCACGGACCAACCCATCCTTGCATCACGGTGGACAATTTCGTGGACAGATTGGCACATGAATCAATTGAACCATTGGGCATTGGAAGGGCCAAACTCATTTGTTGCATGGCACCAGGCAGACTCGATTCATTTCAGATCTTTACCTACTACAAGCCTACTAATTAAAGGAACAGCGCCTAGTTTGCTGGTCCAACAGCCTCCACTCTTCCTGCTCACCACCAACCCAGCAACACATAGTTTTGGCTCTTTACGGCAATGTCGACCTTCTTTTTCCCAAGCATACTTGTATATTATATAGACGTTCTTTTCAGGGGTTCTTGGGGCAGGGCTGGTTCAAACCGACCAACCCGGGCCTTGTTCCATCCGTTTGCGAGGCTCTCACGGGCGTGGACCTGGGCACGGCAGAGGCTGTGCGGCGGCGCCTGTTGCTGACGGCAGAGGGCGCAGCTTTGCGGCGGCTGTGCCATGAGGTGGACGTATTTGAGGCCAGCGAGCTGCAGATGGAGGGCCACTAGTCACATCCACTGTCATTTCTTGGGGGTCCAAGTCATCTCCATCCAGAACAAGTTGGAGGCCGTTTTTGGTCCCGTTGTTATGGGGCAGGTCGCTCAATTGAGAGCAGGGTGATCGTCTTTTCGAGCCCAAAACCAACAAAGCGAATTCGACTGAGATGGGTCCTTTTACGGTCCTGTGGGATGTGAGAAAGAGCCCCCGCTGGCTGAGCTCACATCTTCAAACCCAAGACTCCTGAGACAGTAATGTTGACTGTTGATGAATAACCCCCAAGATGGAGATGGCTGATGATGTTTGACCATCTAGAATCTAGGTCCTAGGTAGGGGGTTTCTGGGTTTATAGGGGTCGTTTTATTCGATTTGATTCATCAACTGTCACCTTTTCTTCCCTGCCACATTCACCACTGGCCTCTCAGCACCAGGCTTGCCGCGGGTTCCTCACCTCCAAGGAGGCCGCGCCTCTTCGAGAAGCCGTCATCAGTGGCACTGGCTGGATTAAGAGGGCAAAGCAACAGTAAACTTAACACCATATTAAACAATTTGGTTATCAGATGCTCATGTAATCTCATGTATATAGTTTTTTTTTTGGTGAGGCAATGTTAGATGCCCTGGTCTTTCAGCAGAGTTGAATTGGAGGAATCTTTATGTGGAACCTACATCGTTTGAAGACAATATTTGTGGCCGCCGAAGCCTCGCACTTATTTACGACCTCTTTCCTGAGGCTCCCTGGCAGAGTCTTGGGCATCCAGGCACAAGCCAGGCCGGAAAGATCAAAAGGAACTGCCGGTTGCAGGCCGATACAGTATGACGTAGCTCCTGCAGAGGGCCCATCGAACTCGAAAGCCTTTCAGCACCCCTAGCAAGGAGGAATGATGGGTAGGAGCTAGTAGATCGAACATGTTTTTCTGAGAGTTTGGACGAGTGCCAAATCAGTTGCTTTTGTTTTCCAACTGTGGCTCGTGAGTTTTGGGCGGCATCTTGTAGGGTTTCCAGTCCAGTGGCCCTACCTCACGAGTTTTAGAAAACAGCTCTTAGATGTTACATTCAACAGTTATTAGCAGCACATCCACATCCACACACTTTCGCTCTTGAGAGTCAATCAGAGTCAGTATGTTCAGTATATTCACTTGGATTTTGTTCTTCCAAGATCGGATCTTGGTGGGTTCTGGGTTCTCGTCTTTCGCTATTTTTCTCTTCAACACCCGATGGCAGGCATTACCAGTAGCCTGGGCCCCCGCGCGGCTGCAGCCTCCAGGTGGGCTGTAGCATCGAACTTGGCTGGAGGGGCCTGTGCGATTGATGCTGCTTTGTGAAAATGGTCCAGCCACTACCTGAGAGTTGTGTGATTTCGTATGATTTCGTGCTTTATTTCTTTCGCTGTTCGCTTGGCTTTTTCCCCGTGGCAGGGGCTGGGGTGAGTGGAAAGCCCAAGAGCCCGTGCATTTGCCTGCCTCAATGAAGCGACATGCTCGCATGGCCTGGCGCATCATCACCAGGCCCGGAGCGCGGCCGGAGTGCAGCCGACGAACAAGGGTGGCCGATGGTCGTAACGAGGAGAGGTTGATGGGAATCGGCGTAAAGGCATCTCTTCGAGCTACATCATATGAGCATTCTTAGACTTTTGTGGGTTTGTCAACTCCGCCATGAATGCACGCCGGCACAGATGATTTTTCCTCTGGGGTTGGCGTCCCATCACATATGACTCATGGAAGTGGAGCGTGGTCATACCAGCTGACTGTACCATGTTTAGCCTCTAGCTGCAAGTTGGCTAGTATATTGTGAGAAAGATGGTCATCAGTCATACCATTTGAACCAGGTGGGTTGCTCGAGACATACCCTGAAGACATGCCCCAGAGACGATGATGTGCCTTCAGCGGGTCAGGGGGCAAATGCGGCGTTCCCTTTGGCCGCTGTGGCGGCTGCCCTTGCGGGTCGTGCTGCTCTTGGTGCAGGCTGGCAATGAAGACGCATGGACATGCACCACAGCCGTGCCACATCTTCAAAGAATGCAGCTAGGGCATGTAACTCGTTCAAGCTACGCCACGCCTTGGAAAGATTGAGCTCTATGCAGCACAAGATTTGGGCCTGATACTTCCTTGGATCAAACTGTGTGTTTCTCACTGGTCTTGGCTTGAAGACGAGGCATCACGGTTTTTCAGACAATACCCAGACTTTCTGAGTCGCAGGTCTGCCCCGCCACAGCGCTCCTCCTCCTCCGCGCTCGGAAGCGAGCGCGTGCTCGCCGGCGGAAGCTCCACTGAAGACCCGGAGGTAGGAGGTCGCAAGTCGCAAGCACTATGAAATACATTGAAATACTGAGCATGGTCCTTGGCAATTGCAAAAACCCTCTTCAACCACCGCGAGCCGGAAGTAGTTCAAAAAAGAGGAACATGTAAATAAACTATGTGTGTACATATAGATATATTCTATATATATATTATATATATATCTATCTATCTATCTATCTATCTATCTATCTATATCCATATCTATCTATAACAATTATGCCGGTCACATCGGTCATGGCATTCTCCGCGGCTGCCACTTGTGAACTGGACCATTGGGAAACTTGGTGGGAGCATTGCTGTGTCGTGCAGGCCAACCTGCACTGAAGCTCCAACGTTTTATGCAGCTATGCAGTGGCATTAAGCTCCTTGAGATTCCCAAAGCGGAATGCTGAAGCTGAGCTGATATAGACATGTGACATACGATTCTTTTTCCAATCAGATTGCTTAGAAGTATCTCCTCTCCCGGAATCCATTGAGGTGCGCCGTTGGATTTCACCTATGCAGAACCTGCGCGACTAAAAAGAAACCATGGCTGCTCCGGCATGGGGATCATCAGGTTGGTTTTCCTCCACACTGCGAGGGTTGTGCTGCTAGAGTGGTTGTGTCATGTTGTGTCTTTATGAACTTGATCTATGGCAGCTTTTGCTCAAGATCTACCTTTCATTGCAGGCCCTTTCTGGCAGCCATGAGAATATGGCTGCTCTGTGTGTATTTCACCAGCTGCCTGGCTCACCTCGACCCTAAAGAGATGTTATATATATATATATATATAAGTCTGCTTGGTTCGGACTTGGCAGGGAAGGCATTGTGCCAACAATTAGCTTCATGACATTTTCTCATTTCTTCATGCCACTAGCTAGCTTCCAAAGGGTCCTGAAAGAAAGAGTATGACGCAACCAAAGAAGCAACAGCAAACGAACAGGAATCCTGCATTTGCGCTCCTATCAGACCTATCTTCCTCACCCTAGGCTTTGCTTGGGCTGCCAACCTGCAGAAGTGCAGTGGCACGGGCCCTCTTCGGAGCTCCGTGCCTGTGTGTCCTGGCCCTCAGATCGGTGGCATGGAGTGGCACGATGTGGCGACGCGTTCGGTCTGTGGCAACGACTCTTCCCCGAGCAGGATACCCACCTACCATTCCAGACGCTAAGGTCTGACAACCAATGATATAGTTGCTCGGATAGATCATAGCTTGATGATCCAATGAAATGATCTTGGCCCAATGATCTTGCATCTCTGCACGATTGCAGCTCCCTCACCTGACGTGATCTCGGTCTCGAACCCCTGTCCCGTGCGTGTCGTTCCGTCCGCCATCGGATCTGCCCCGACAGGCTACTTTGGCGAGACGTCCGGGGAGGCGGTGCTGGTCTCCTGGCGGCGGTTGGACTTCTCTGAAACATTCTTGGCTTGTTGGATAGAGTTGAGAGGTTCTTCACATTCGCGGTTTGGGATGTGAACACCTGAAGCTTTCAAGATTGTCATTCATGTGGTTCTTGGGTTAGGTCAAAATCCTCAGCTTCGACTCACTGGAGCACGCTGGGCAGATGGAGCTTCGGGCCGCTGGGGCGTCGAAGGTGAGGAACGCGCCGAACGCAGGTCGTCGTGAGTGCGTTGAGGCCGTTTTTGGCAGTAAGAAATTGAGGAAGCCAGCAGTCAGAAATCTGGTGCCATCATTTTCTGGAGTTTGCTTGGCATGGAACATTGCTTCCACAAGCCCAGTTCTGCGCCCGGCGATTTGGGGCATACGTGCCAGTGCGACGTTCCCGCAGCACTAGCGGGAATCCCCTTCTTGGCGAGGTGGCTTGTGAGAGCACCTTCACTCAGGAGGGCCAAGCCATCCAGGCACGTGGAGAGCACTTTGTGGTCTTGATGTTGGTGCTTCGGAGGTCACACGGGCCGTGTGCGTTCCACCGACATGGGAATTTCCACCGTAAATGCCACAGCGTTTGGTGGTCGCAGAGCATGTTTGAAGGCTTGGGCACATGGTGCGCAGGGGTTGGTGATGCTCAAATGCACTGCAAAGGTCCGCCAGCTGTGCCTACCCAGCTCCGTGAGCGCGGTCAATGTGAGCTATTGTTCCGACCAGGTGCCAGCAATGTGGGGCATGCATGCTTGTGGTCGAAAGTGCATCGGTTTACGGGGGATCTCTCGCAATGAAGGAGATGGTGGACTTCACATGAACAATGCATTCCCTTAACGGCGGCAACCGACGCCGGTGCATTCAAAAAAATCTATGATGATCGATTCTGGTATGTCCTGAATCCAGTCTGGGCACGCATCTCCATGTTAACATATGTTTCTCGATTATTAGGAGCTGCTTTTTGGAGAGGATTCGTGGTAATTATATGTGATTGTATATATATATATATATATGCGCACACGATATATGTATGTATATTTGTATACACATGCAATACATTATGCAGCTAGCAAATGATGACCTGCCAGGAACCACGTATACAGTAAAACCCAGAACATGAACCGGAGGAATCGCAAGCCGCAAGCCCTCAGGATGCCCTGCGCTTGGATGCCTCGGTGGAGGGGGACCTGGTGGAGATGAGCCTTCGGCTTTTGCCCAACTGCCAGCAGCTTGGTGAAAAGGACAAGGTGGAAGTGGACAGCCGGACAGCGGGATAGCCATCCTTTCTCCGATTGTTTGTGCTGTATATGCACCTTTGTTGGTTAGTGCTTTGGAGGGCAATGTCGAGCAATCGTACAAACTAGAGGCAGCTGCTTGGAATCAGCGCTTCCAACACAACAGTTTTGTTCCTCAGTGGATGCTACTCACTGCTGCAAGAAAGCCTCGAGCTGTGTCACAAGTAGGATGCCTCGGGCCTCAACACAGGTGAGCGGAGGTGTTCAACTTACACAATGCAAAGAGCAACTTGTGCATACACATGAGTGATGAGGCAGGTGAGGACAAATGCGTTTTCTTGGAGCTTGCATCAATTGGTCAACATAAACCTACCTCAGTACCTACCTCTGTGGCCTTCTTGAAGACCCACGGGTGATACTGTAAATTCACTCAACAGTCCATCAACCAAGGGGTGATCCACTGCACAGGCCCTTGATGAGACGATCTCCACCTGCCCGCTGAGGGTACCGAGAGTAGGAGCCAGCGCACGGAGACAGGGAGGCCGCTAGCTTGGAGGGCGCTAGAAGCACCAGCAAAAGGAAGTCTAAGAGACCGGTCTAAGATGTTCTGATGTGCAGGATTCCCTGACTCCTGATGACTGACTGACATGATGTGGAACCTATCAGCAGGGCAAAGGGCATTGACATTGACGAAGGTTTCCAAGTTCCCGGTTTGACTCCCTTTAAGCCACTGGATCTTAACAGGAAGCCTGGGCATGGCATTGACTCAAGTACTGTAGAATGATACACTGTAGAAAGATGAAGATGGCCCGCACATTTTGCCAGCGAAAGCAGCGAAACATGTCTGAGTTCTTCCATTGCTTGCCTCCATCGTCAGTATATAATTACAATAGCCTGTCACGTGACCTGTTGATGGAAGCCGAGCCTCTTTCACACTGCGGTGTTCAGCGTGCCATTCTGGCCACATCACTCCTTGTGATAGCATGGCTCTGGTAGAGAACAAAAGCAGCCACTTTGCACCTGACGGGTGTGGGCAGAGCATGGCAACAACCTCGCACATGAAATCTTTTTCTGCAAGACCTTGTGGTTTCTGGGTAGATGTTGCCTAGCCATGTTGCATTGTTAGGTAGAAGTGGTAGAGGCGAAGGCGAGGTTTCAACCGGGTGTGTTGGCAGAGCTGCAGCAATCGCTGCCAGCCAGGCACACTAGTGACTAGAGTGACTAGAGCGCGCGAGAGGAATCGTTGCTTCAAGAGTTGGTCTTTCGGGATGTCCAGATTATCTCGCCCCAGTTTGGTGGGTTCATGCACCCCTCGGGGAGTGCCCTTGGCTCAAGCATGAGGCAGAACACTTTAACTGTTTCGCACCGTTGCGCAATCCTGGGCGGGCTTTAGGTGATGATGACGATGATCCTCGGAGCGTAATGCCTGCTGCCCCCTACCATATCAAACATATTGTCATGAAACACATTCCTTTTTGGGGTACACGCAGGTTTGTGAGACAAGTTTTTGTGTGTAATACGCGGCTGGGAAGAGTGTCACCGTTCTGTGGTGGAGCATGGCTTGGGCTTGCATGAGCACAGGCATGTGACATCTCAGCAAATGTGTTCGACAAACTTGTCCAACATATCGTCCAATAGACCCAATAGATTTGCAACATCGTGCAAAACATATCAACACAAGGTACCGTCCTTTTCAACGCTGGTGTGTCAGAATTTCCTCGAATGCTATGTTGCATGTATGTGGAGCATGCAAATGAGGCACTGAGGCACTACATTTTTACCTTGCTTATGTATGCTTATGCCGCCGCTGAGATTCTAATGTGAAGATTTGTCCAAGCAATCCATGTAAATATATCTACATCAATGTAAATATTAAAGTCTCAAAGGAGTCATTGCCTAAGGGCAACACATCAAGTTGCGTGACTGATAGAATCAGGTGTTGTTGATATACCGTTGCTGGGGACCACCGGAGGTAGATCCCCCATCCCATCCCATCCCATCCCATGGTTCTTGCTGGGCATATTTCGAGTAGAACCCTCTCCTGTGAGCAGCGTAAGAGTAGGGTGGTTGGTTTTCAGTGGTGTTGCAGAAAGAAGTTGGTCGACCTCACCCAGGATTCTCTACGCCCTTTGCTACGGCCTGGTGTGGGTGGACGCTGAGCCGGCCCTTGCGGCATTCTAGGCGGCTTATTCTGCTTGTTAGGGCCCTGTTACTTGAGCCCGGATTGTGCCAAGAACCTGGGGCAAGCTTTCTGTCTCCATCCGTGCTTCCCTGCATTTCGGGGTCCGACCTCCCCGAGCTGCATCAACTCCTAAGCTCTTCACGATGCATCCAACCTAAGCGCGATGGCCTCCAACCTAAGAGCGGCCAACAAAACATACGTCGCGGCTACATCCAACCAGCCAGAGCCGTGATGGTTCGGGTGACCCGCGAACGGCGCTGGTGGTCCCATGCCGCCATGCGGCGGAGCCACCGTCAGCTGCGTTCCACGTGGCGCAGTGGCTTGGGGCGAGTTGGTGCCTCGGCCAATGGGTGCCGACCTGAGCCAAAACATGGAAGAAAAAGCTCCGTTTGTAGCGTCCTTTTGCTCCTAGTAGTAAGGCCAGGAGCCCCTAGTAGTGTCTTTGTTCCTAGTAGGGATGCCCTTTGTTCCTAGTAGCGTCCTCTGCCGTTTTCACTGGCTTGCCCGTTGGTTGGAACCCCAAAATCCATGAACTGAACAACCACACCCTTGAACTGTTCCTGGTTGGAACATGTTGGAACTCACGGTTGAACCCATCATGACTTTCATTTCAATTGGTCTCATCATGTTTTTGTATACCCGCCGGGTGTGGAATCGCACGTGTAGTCGTGCAAATTTGAATCAAACGTGCAAGCCCTCTCAGTACTTTTGCTTGTTCGATGATGTTTTTTGGGGGTCCCGGATCCTTTCATTTTTAAAGCCGAATCTGCCGAAACCCAAGCGCCAGCGCAAAATCCGTCGCCGTTTTTGTCCCGGGCTGTCCTCAACTTTCATGCGTCCTGTCTCAAGTAGACTTGCGCAGTTTTTTGCACAAGTTAGTACACGTGGTGTTTTCCAAACGCCACTGCCATCCGCGAATCACACGACTAATCGATGACAATGTTATGAAACCGATGACAATGCTATGAAACCGAAGATTTCTTGTCGTGAAATCGATGACAATGTTCTCAGCATGACATCCACATCCTCATTCCATCACAACGCCCCCCCCACCCCATTTTAATCACACGACTAATCGATGACAATGTTATGAAACCGATGACAATGCTATGAAACCGAAGATAATGTTATGAAACCGATGACAATGATATGAAGCCGAAGATTACTTGTCGTGAAAACGATGACAATGTTCTCAGCATGACATCCACATCCTCATTCCATCACCCCCCTCACCCCCCCCACCCAATTTTAATCACACGACTAATCGATGACAATGTTATGAAACCGATGACAATGCTATGAAGCCGAAGATAATGTTATGAAACCGATGACAATGCTATGAAACCGAAGATTACTTGTCGTGAAAACGATGACAATGTTCTCATCCCACCCCAACCCAACCCCCCCACCTTTCACGTAGCATCAACTTCAGATAGCAAGTGCAAACGAACGTCAATATGCCCCATCCCACCCCACCCCAACCCCCCCACCTTTCACGTAGCATCAACTTCAAAAATCGCAGTAGTCACACGTTCGGTTTTACACCCGTAGGCATGTTTTTGCTAGCGGAATTTTTGCCACCCAGAAAGACATTGCGATTTTTGACATGGACACTCGTTCACACTTGTGTGGAAATTGTCGAGTGCAACACGGATGTCAAAACAAGGATTCCCAAAGCACTTTCAAAAGCTCTGGCAACGCAGAAAACACCGCTTGCAACCAAAGGGTATTGGCCGGAAGTTTTCCGATGTCCGCAAACATTCCTATAACAACAGCAAGTACGGCACACTTTTTGACATGGACACTCGTTGACGCAAGTTACATGGACACTCATTGACCGTCAGAGCTGTAAATGGGTGGGGTGACACGAAGTGCAATGGGGTTCCCTTGGAAAGACACTGTCCCGAGAGCGGTCCACCGGACGAGCACGTTGGTTTGGATGTGCTTCGCGGATGATGTTACATGCACACACATGCATGATGGTTCGCCGTGCTACAAGGCATGAGCCGAGAAGTGCAACCTGCTTTTAGCGCCAGTGCCACCATGACAATTGTCGATTGTCTTCATGTGTCTGCATGTGTCAACTTGGACGTGCGTTCACCCCCGGTCATCGAGAAAACTAATATTCCGAAATGCACTCGAAGCACAGAAAACGAACGCACCCGAGGGGGCACCTTTTTAACGCGCCATGCTCCGGTCACAAGCCGGCCCCCAGGCCGCCGCCTGGCTCACCGCCATCCCCTCGGAGCCTGGGACCACACTGCCGCCTCACTACATGCGCCGCGCCCTCAAGCGCCGACTCCGCTTGCCTCTGCCGTTGGCGCGTGCCCGCTGTGGAGGTGACGGCGCTCCCGGCTGTGGGGAGCCGCTGGACCGCTTGGGTGACCACTGCGCAGCTTGCCCCCGCAGCGGCGCTCTCGCCCGCCGCGCACATGTCTTGGAGCACGCGTGGGTGCGCATCGCCCGCGAGGCTGTGGGCGCCGAGGGCCGCGTCGTTCCGCAGCAGTGGCTTGCGCGCACCAACACCCCGCACATTTCCCCCGATGACCGCCGCCGACTCGACCTCGTCGTGCATGGCGCCTCGCCACATGGGGAAACGTGGTGCTGCGATGCCACCCTCGTCTCCGCCTTGACGCGCGGCGGTGCCCCCGTCCCTGGGGCCGCTGAGGCGGATGGTGTCGCGCTCCGCCTGGCCGAGCGGCGCAAGCGCCGCCGTTATCCAGAGCTTGCTGCCGGTGGTCCGCAGCAGCTCCTGGTCCTCGCCTGCGAGGTCGGCGGCCGCTGGAACACGGAGTCCTTGACCTTCGTGCGCCGCCTCGTCCGCCTTCGCGCCCGGCGCGCGCCTCCCGCGGTCCGCACCGCCGCCGCTGCCGGGTGGCGCCGCCGCTGGTGGGGCCTCCTTGGCGTCGCCGTCCAGCGCGCCTTGTGCCCCACGCTGCTTGGGGACGACTGGCGCGCGCCCCAGTGCCCCACCGGCTCCGCAGATCTCCCTCTCGGGGAGATCCTTGCGCTTGCCGGGGCCTCCGCGCCAAGCCGGCTCCCTTTGCGGCCATAGGCCAGCAAAGCCTGGCAGGACCTAGCACAGCCGATGCCCGTGCGGAGGGGAAAAAAAAGATAAATTCCGTAAGGGCTGCACCAAGCATAAAAACAACAACACTTTTTTGACCTCAGATGACTATCTCAGAAATCCGGTTCCGGTGCAGCGAAGCAGCCGAAACGAACAAAGCCGTGGGGTGGTAATGATTCTGTCCGGATGTTTTTGGTATTCTTTGTGCCCTTACATGCATAATTCCGTGTAGGAGCCGAACCTAAGCCTCTTTTCGTCGCAGAAGGCCTTTGCTTGTCAGCCGTCAAGCGGCTCAGAGGTGTTAAAGTAAAGAGGCGATAGAGAGTAAAGTGGCGTAAACAGACTTAAATGCAGGAGGTGAGGCATAGATCATAGACACGTGGAGGGATATACCTGTCCTCAAATTTTGTCTTGCCTCGAATGCGCTATGTACTCCTGCAAGTGCTTGAAAACTGCTAAGCGTGTTATTCAACTTGGAGGCAAACGGCAAACGGTGCATATAAGAGAGGGGCCAGAGGCATGGGTGGCTATATAATTGTGGTAAATAGACTTGCTTTGAGAATTGCTGTGGAGGTGTAATTACTTAAGAACTTAGGAAAATACAGACGGCTTTCAAGGAGGCTTCAATAGGTGTGGAACCCCTTGGGATGTTTGGCCGTGCTTAGACTCCCGCCCGTTTGAAACAGGTTTTCCAAGCGGAAAGTTCTCACCCGAGGCTTCGGTGATAGCTGACACCGATGCCTTTCCGACCTTTGTGGCGCGTGAGGGCTGTGGCTCTAGCCTGACGCTGCGGCAGCTGCAAAGTGGGATTTTCGGGATGGCCTTCCTTCTACAGCGTTCCTTGGAGAGCTGAGACTCTGAGAAAAGGCTGAGAGAGAGGAAGAGAGAGAGAGAGAGAGTAGCACCTAAAATCATTGCACATCATAGGCTCAACACGCGATGAAAAAGGAAGGCAAGGCGCCTTGAAGGGGTTCGGCCTCACACTCCAGTTTTTCATCTCGCTTTTGTACAGAACATATCACAAAATACCATGCCACACACAGACACGGGAGGATCTAGTCACAGTCTGTTTGTCGAATCCTTTGGAGAATGACGGGGGGGCTCTTGGGGTGTCGGCCAACACTGACCTCGCGCAGCAGCACAGATGCTGTACCAGCCGTGGGGTGGTTGGTGGAGTGGCGAGTGGACCTGCCTCAGACGCATGACGATCCATTTGTCCATCAAAACAAGGGGCAATCACAAAGGACATGTGCCAAGAAACTAGTTCTTGGGATTTTAATGGATTTTGAGCTCAAATAGTCCTCCTGTTTCCGAGTGCTTGCGGGAAGAACGCTCCCTCAAAAAACATGATCTGCCTAATGCTGCCCGGCCGACACGAGGCTTCCGTGTGGCGCGGCTCCCGGAGCTCACGCAGCGGATCCGCGAGGCCTATGCGGTTGCGGTGGGCCACTGCTTTGGCTGGGCGCAGCGGGATGGAGTGCAAACACTCCAAACAGGAACGCCATTTTTTCTTTAAAGGGGGGGGTGGCACATGCGTATAAGCGTATAGCATCGTATAGCATCGTCTAGCCAGGAGAGAACGACATTGGACGGTGGTGAAGGTGTTTTGGCAAACAGTGCTGTCTAGGACTGGAGACACACTGGCACTGGAGGTCATCCAACCTCCTGAGAATTGCAGATGGATGGACAAAAAGGGCTGTGTGTTGGAGGTTGCTGCTGGCAGCCTCTGCAGTGCGCGAAAGAAGATTTATCACCGAATGGCCGCCCATCTGGTCACAAACATATTTCATCTCTGCAACTTTTGTGCTCGAGCTCAAGGGCGCAGACACGTGAAGCAGGGGTCGACATACATACAAGCAGACAACACTGAAGGCAAATTGTGACAGATCATAAGGATCCTTCAAGTGAGAGGTGTGCAAAGCTCCAAGCTGTCAACGAGTCAGTGGGCACAAGGTGTAGTTTGACAACGTCCAGAAGGAAAGGAGGGAGGTCTTGCGTCAAGTTTGGGTGTGCCCCGTCACGTCAGAGGCTATCCTCAGCCGCAGGATGGTCGAGGGTGCAGCGAGGTAGCTGTTAGCTGATGGTCTTTCACCTTTGCTGCCTCCCCGGTGAGGACAGCCTCAAACTGGGCCTATCTCAAGCCATCAGCTTCGTGCTTCCAAAACCAACTCTGAATGTCCAAGCTTCATTATCAAGCACTTGTACCTACTCTATGGAGGATGACCCCCGTTCAAGTTTGGGAGCTGACTTGGGAGCGAGCCCTTGAGTCTGCAATACGCTCCGCAACACAGTCCGCATGATGCTTTGGTCACTCCACTTTGTAGAATCGTGAATTTCTTTCGCCCTTGACCAATAATTATGAGCTAGTTCATTCAGTGGGCCCGATTTGGCATCATTCTCGCCCAGCAAAACTGCCTCCGCAGCTTCAGCAGCACCACCAAATTGTACATTCTGCCTACGTGTGCAACCTATGCGAGTGCAGGATAGTGAGGGCTTTTGGAATACCCTTTGCCTCGCGAGAAACCGAGGTCAGTCGGTTTGTTACCAAACCAAGCTCTTTTCATTGTTTGCTCGACCCCTCCGTAGGATGCCGGTGAACGCTCGGGGCCTCGGTGCGGAGTGGAGAGGCGTGCAAGCCAGGGTCTGAATAAACATTCTCCCACCTTGTTGGTAGCCGGACCCTCCACTCCTCCCCTACCACCCCTTTTTCGTTGAGAGATCTTCGCCACGCCCCCCAACTTCTCTGGACAGCCTAGCTGAGCGAAGATAGGTCCAGCCCTCATTGAGACCCAAAGCGCAGTGGAGACGGACGCTGTGGCCATCCCGGACCAGGCGAGGTTTGGGGCGTGGGTCGCGTCGCCTGCGCCGCTGGCCCAAAAGGAAACGCCACAACCTTGATCTTATAGTAACAAGAAGCTAGTAGGAGCAAAGGGCATCGCTACTACGAGCAAGGACGCTACTAGGGGCTCCTGGCGTTACTACTAGTAACAAGAAGCTATTAGAAACTAGAAGAGAAAGAAAGGCATTCGGAGCTGCAATTGAGATTTCGGAGGTCTGACCGATGCCAGTTGAAATGCAGCTGCAGTATGCAGCAGCACTTGGACCCCTACCCCGCATGTGTCTTGATGAGGTCAACGCGACGTAGCCATATCCTCACTCCAGGGTCTGCAGCTCTTTGCACTGTCTTATTCACAAGCTCGTGCCATCTTGTGCCTCAAAGTTCTGCCTCAAAGTCAAGGACCCAGATTCGGAAGTGGAGATTTATCTCCCAACTGAGCCACTTTTCACTCTTCACCTCCTTTTCATGCCACACAAGCGCCTCCTCACTGGGAGTTGACCAATGCGACCAATGCCTACTCCGATGAACGATCACCGCATGGCTTTGGCAAAGCCCTCCGACCCCCGCGGAACCCGCCAGACACGCCCCGAGCCGTGTGAAGCGCCATGGTCACCTCCTCGGAGCCGCTCATCGAGCATGACCCGAGCAGTTCCAACATGCATTGGCGAAAGGCCGAGACCGGGCGGATTTTCATAGGATGGGGTGGATGTGAGGAATGGCATATGGCACGCACACACACACACAATGTGAGTGATGAACCGCATATATGTGTATATGCTCACGCCCCCCCC